GACTTGAATTTTGCATGATTTAGTTCATTTGTTAGATTGTTAACATCTTGCACTATATTTCTTTTACTTGAATTTTATATGCTTTGGTTGAGATTTTATATTGATGTTAAATCTTTTAAGCTTTTTTTGTCAAAGAATTGACTCTAGAGTGCATATTTTGTGTTCATGAAAAAACTATTACAGAAAATATTACAATATTAAAGAACTGTTCTTGTTAATTTGATGAAAACATTTTAAATTTCCAGTAGACTCACATCAGAATAACTTATAGATTTGTTGTTAGAATAATCGATTAATCGAAAAAAATAATCGTTAGATTAATCGRTTAGAAAATAATCGTTTGGTACAGCACTACAGCAAAAATAATCGTAGCTACATTTTTCTCTAATTTCTGTATGTTTTTTCCATTTTGAATTCTTTGACTCTGTTTTGGCAGGATCGAATTGTATCGATGACACTGGATAAGGAGTATGACGTAGCTGTAGAGGCCATCAGGCTGGTTACACTCATCCTGCAGTGAGTATCTGTATCTGCATGTGTGATATTTAAAGTTCAGTCCATTCAAGCTTGAGGTGCTTTGGTAATATTTCCCAAGCAGCTGAGGTTCATTTTGACCTGATTAAAGCCTGTTGTGATGGCCTTGTGCAGAGGCAGTGAAGATGCTTTGTCAAATGAAGACTGTGAGAACGTGTACCACCTGGTGTACTCCGCTCATCGGCCGGTGGCTGTTGCTGCTGGAGAGTTCCTTCACAGGAAGTGAGTTCAGTTATGTTTTGTCAACACCTGTTAAACTCTTGTGAAGCCATAGCTACACCATGAAACTCTGTTTTTACTGCGTTGTCTTAATGTTCCTGTCGCCCTTCACTTCCATCCTCTTCTGCAACTCTTCGTCACGTCTCAGATTGTTCAGTCGCCACGACCCCCAGGCGGAGGAGGCCCTGGCTAAGCGCAGAGGGAGGAGCAGTCCAAATGGAAATCTCATCCGAATGCTGGTGCTCTTCTTTCTGGAGAGTGAGGTACCTTCTTTCGCTCTGACTTTAAATTTCAGGCGTTAAGCACACGTTTTGTCTCAGTTGTTACATTCAGCATTCTGTATTATTGTGTTTTAGCTCCACGAGCACGCTGCTTACCTGGTCGACTCGTTGTGGGAAAGTTCTCAGGAGCTGCTGAAGGACTGGGAGTGTATGACAGAACTTCTGCTGGAGGAACCCGTTCAAGGAGAAGAGAGTAAGCTCTGTTATTTTCCTCTGGAAGTCTGTGAAATGCCTCCGGGCTTCTTCCCATCACAGCTGGAAAACGCAGCAGGGAGAGAGAGATGATGTAATAAAATCTGGATTCGTGAAACTTGATCTCTCCTTTGATCCTYGTCTCTGTTCCTGAGCTTTGCTGACATGTCTTGTCTCCATGTATTTTTATTTATTTTTCCCTGACTGACTCTGCCCGTCTCTGCAGTGTTATCAGACAGGCAGGAGAGCGCGCTGATCGAGCTGATGGTGTGCACCATCAGGCAGGCTGCAGAGGCTCACCCACCTGTAGGCAGAGGCACCGGCAAACGGGTGGGTCATCTAGAAACAGCTCTTGTATTTTGTCATTTACACATCTCCACATGCATTATAGTCTGTTTCTGTTCAGTTGTGTCTGTAAATGCATGCTTAATGTAGAGTAAAAACGATTTCTTCACTATTCAGTTACAAGTCGAAGTGTCCTTGGGCAAGACACTGAACCCTCACTGCCTCTGATGTGTCCCATCAGTGTATGAATGTGATTTAAAGCACTGATTAGTCTCCATAGGATGATTTATACAGCTGTGTAAAGATGTAATAAAGTGCTGTATGAATGTGTAAATAGGACACAGATTGTGTTGTAAAGCGCTTTGAGTGTCCTGATTGGTTAGAAAGGCATTATATAACTACAGTCCATTTACCATGACTGTTACAAGTACACAAAACTGTCCACACATAAAGGTTGGGCTCCTGCCCCCTGCAAAGTTCACGTCTGTGATTTTCTGGCTGTGTCCCATCAGGCTCTGCGAGTGGAGAGTTTGGTCCAAAGCAGCTCTTTGAAATAATAAGTAGTTTCAGGACATTGTCCCGCATATTCCAACATTTAAAAATATTATGTTCTGTGACAATAAGGGCTTTGTGTTTAGAATCTGAGCATGTTAGTTTTTAGTGAGAAAGCCACCTGAACAAGCCCATATATGGTAAACTTTTTGTCAAGTGTTGAAAGTAACGCCTTGGTTTCAAAACAAAGTAATCCTTTATCAGTGRTTGTTTCTTTGGAGGGGACAAAAACAGCTGAAAGTTCTGCTTTGGTTTGTCCAGGTGCTGACAGCAAAAGAGAGGAAGACTCAGATAGATGATAAGAATAAACTGACGGAGCACTTCATCATGGCTCTCCCCATGTTATTGTCCAAGGTAAGCCTTTTGTTTTTGTCCTCRCTCTGGTGGAGAGAGGAGTTGGAAAAATCTCCTGTTTGTCTTCTGAGCAGAATAACTTGAAAAATAAGTGAGGTTCCAGCTTCTGTTGTGGTGTGTGGCTGCTTCTGGGTGTAGTAAAGGTCTCCGTCAAAAATGGAGTAACCATGTCAAAATCCAAGATATATACGTAAACTGTTTCCCCCAGTGATTTGAGTAAACTATGCTTTCTAGTTTTTATATTGCTTAAAATATAGTTTCCTCAAATGATTGGGGTGGTCGGTGCACTCTTTGTACCTGCTGGTGGATATCATTTCTACCTCCACTCACCAGGATAAATCACTCTGCACCACCTCGATCAAGTAAAAAAATAAAATAAAGCTACCTCTGTTCTTATCCATGATTTAACTTCTACCCACTAGAATATCATGCACGAAAAACAGTAAGGTTTACTTCCTGTTTAATTCTAGTCCAGAAAACCATTATTGAAATCCCTTAGCAACTGAAGACATCAGCGTATCACTTGATGAGTTTCAGCTTGCAGCCCGCACAGAGAGGATTGAGACAAACGAGTCTGGAGGATTGATGTGTTTGTTAAAAGAATTGATCAAAGTCTCGAGTCATGAAGTGGACATTTGTCATTGTGGTTAAAGATCTAAGTCTTAATTGGCTGTTCTAACAGAGGGATTAATCTGCTCATTCCATTTGTAACTCTACTTTTTGTCCTTAAATATCATCCGGACTCATCCCTCTGTCTTTTCCTCACAGTACCAGGCCGACGCAGAGAAGGTTGCCAATCTGCTGCAGATCCCGCAGTTCTTCGACCTGGACGTGTACAGCGCCGGGCGCATGGAGAAGCACCTGGACGCCTTACTGAAGCAGATCCGGCTCGTGGTGGAGAAACACATCGAGACGGACGTCCTGGAGGCCTGCAGTAAAACCTACAGCATCCTCTGCTCCGAGGAGTACACCATCATGAACCGCGTGGACATCGCCCGCTCTCAGCTCGTTGACGAGATGACCGATCGGTTCGCACATTCTGTGGAAGAGCTGCTGCAGGAGGTACGGCAGCGCTTAAGGATTTATTTTAGAAAGTGATGACAATATACAGTAGATGTCATTAATCCAGGGACAATCCACAAAAACAATCTAATACAGCCTAAACTTTTTCAGTCTTTCCTGATAGTTTTGACAAACTCCAGAAACCCTGATATAAATGTATCTGTTGCAGAAAATGGCACAAGTGCTTATACAGTTTGATGGTTTTATTTTTGAGTGTTATGTTTTGATTAGTTAATGTCAGAGATTCTTAACCCATGGGCGAGCGCCACCTTGAGGGCCTCAAAAGAACAGCATTTTTAACTTTGGGCCGCAGAGGGCCACAGGACTGCATTGATTTTGAATAAGGTGCAATACAACTTCTCACCACTAGTAGCAGTAGTAGTGCACCACTCAGATGTTTAACAACTTTTTTAATATGTAGAAGAAGAACCCTGAAAAACCTGCCGAGAATAGAAACCTATTTTAAATTAAAAGTAGAAGCAAAAATGAAGGTAACCTGTCAAAAAACACCAAAGTTTGTCACTAATAAGAAGAGCAGCTTCTGTTTTTATCATGCAATATTTCAAAAGTTCAAAACATTATCAAATACAGTTGCAATACAGCTATATTATAATTTGCACTTTATTAAATTATTTTTGTAGTTTATTTTTTAATATTTTAATGTATTTTAAAGAAACTTTAAACTTGTCAAAAAAGCTGTTGTTACTGTTATTGTTTGGCACTAATAAGAAGAGCAGCTTCTGGTTGCAAAAGTTTAAAAAGGCTTTATTTTCATTTGTACTTTATCAAATTTATTTTATTATTTTTTTGTATTTGAAACATTTAAACTTTTTTAATTTATTAGTTTTATTGCCACAGTTTTATTTATTGAATTATCTATTTTTGTTATGTTAAAAAATATATATTTTTGTGCTGATAAGCCTGAGTGGTCTGTTGACTGACCGTTGTACGTATTTGTTCAAATAATTGTTATGGTCAGGTTACAATATAAAAAATTGTCATATGGTCTTGTGATTTGACAGGAGTTTTACTTTTAAAATGTAAGTGTATTTAATTTAGTTATAATGTAAATACAATAAAAATTAAACCAAGATTTAGAATAATTATTATTTTAATTCATACATTGGTAATGTCTGACTGGGCCTCGTGACACTTTATGTTCAATAAATTGGGCCCCGAGGTCAAAAAGGTTAAGAAGCCCTGGTTTATGTGATGGTCGGGTTTACTGACATGTTTGTTGTAACGCAGGGAGAGGAAGCAGATGATGATGACATCTACAATGTTCTGTCTACGCTAAAACGACTCACAGCCTTCCATAAGTAAGAGTTGCTCTTGCAATTTAAATTTAGWAATAAACCTATATATATATRTGTGTGTGTGTGTGTGTGTGTGTATGTATATGTATGTATATGTATATATATATATATATATATACATAAATGATTGAACATTTTTAAAACAAATGTTTAACGGTTATTTTGCAGGACAGCACAGATCAAATCTTAACATTTTAGTTTTGACTCTCTTTGACTCGTGTTTTTTGGTTTCAGTGCTCATGACTTGACGCGGTGGGATTTGTTTGGGAACTGTTACCGGCTGCTGAAGGCCGGGATCGAGCAGGGCTCTATGCCGGAGCAGATTGCCGTCCAGGCCCTGCAGTGCTCCCACTACTCCATCCTCTGGCAGCTGGTCAAGATCACTGAGGGAGTTCCCAGCAAGGTGCTCAGCTCAGGACTCTGAAAGCAGTTCAACAAACACACTCAGATGTCAGGTTGACCTGTGCTTAGATGCATCAGCACAACTCGCCTCCCTAGAGGCGGCCGGTGCAGAGCTCAGACCTGGTGCTAAGACCAGTCCTGGGTGGTTTGACTGAGATTGTTCACCCCAAACCATTTTTATGATCAGATGCCAGTTCTCTTCATGCAGCAGTCAGCTGATTTCTGTGAACATGACATGTTCTGTTTCATTAAGTGAATATAAAACCACTGTTGTTTTACTGACGCAGCACGTTATAGCTGCAGCGGGTCAAAACAAAACAAGCTAAAGAAACATTCACTCATTCATGTCCTGGTAACCCACGCTGAGTAAAAAACTTTTTAATTAAGATGGATTCTGATAAATAGCTGAAAACTGTGAAATCTGTGTCTTGAGTATATTTCCATGGACGTCTTATTCATCATAAGGTCATTTAACGTCTGATCAGTGGGTGGGGCTCAGGACAGATGGTGTTCAGAGTACCAAATGTACAGTACACAGACTAAATTAGTAGGGGTGCAACGATACAGAAAATACACGATTCGGTTCGATACTTTAGTCTCACGGTTCGATATTTTTTCGATACAAAAAAGAGAAATGTCCATGCCCCTTTTAACTTGTAATTTATTTGAATTAATTATGAACATTTGTTTAACCTCAAAAGAACAGTTTTTAAATTAAATGTTGCTGAAACAGCAAGTTTCTCAGTGGATCTGTGCTCAAAAATGCAGCCTAGGTGGAGTGGTCGAACACAGATCCACTGATCCTTTGACACAGAGCATCTTCAGAAGACAAGTTGATAAAGTAAATTTTAAAATCTGTATTGTTCGATACGAGTGTGTATTGAACCTAAAGCATTGTTCGACACAGTTTGATACGGGTACATGTATTGTTGCATCCCTATAAATGAGTATAGACCCCATCCCAAAGTGGTCTGTGTGAAAACTGTTTTAAGTTGCACTGAGGCTGTTCAGACTGATATTTAGTGTTATCCACATGCTGTCAGTTAACTCAGAGTGGATGTTAGTGCCAGGTGTGAATCAGCCCTCAGCCACATCTGTTTAATTCAAAACATAAACACCTAAATAAGGTTTGACATCTTTATTAAATTATTGCAGAATAAAGTTCAAAKATGAAAAACAACATCATCAGTGTAGTACATTTATACTATTTGTGCAAAAACACGAAGGAAAAAACTAGTTATGTAGTTCTCGTGTCACCCAGTGGTGGTCTGATGTGTTGCTAATAAAACAATTATTCAAATTTAAAGTGTTAAATATTCTGTCTACAACCCCAGTTACAATGAAGTTGAGACGTGTAAAACAAATAAAAAACAAAAACGATAATTAGCAATCCTTTTCAACCAACATTGAATCCTTCAGGCAGCTCTGCATTAAAAACCAACATCATCCTGTAACAGATATTATCACATGAGTTCAGGAACACAGAAAACCAGTGTCAGTGAACACAGTTCATCACCACATCTACAGCTGTTAAAACTCTGCCATGCAAAGCTAAAGCCAGATATCAACAACACCCAGAAACCCAGCCAGCTTCTCTGGACCTGAGCTCATCTGAGATGGACTGAAGTGGTCTGATGAGTCCACATTTCAAATTTGTTTTGGAAATCATGGACGTTGTGCCTTCTAGGACAACGAGGAAAAGGACAGTCTGGATTGTTATCAATGCAAAGTTCAAAACCCAGCATCTCTGATGGTATGGGGGTGTATTAGTGCCCATGGCATGGCTAACCTTCACATCTGTGAAGACATCAGTAATGCTAAAGGATGAACAGGTTTTGGATCAACACATGCTGCCATCTAAGTGACATCTTTTTTGGGGACGTCTGATAATTTCAGCAAGACAATATAGACACATTCTGCACGTTATAATAAAATGGCTTTGTAGTAAAGGACTGTGGGTCCTAGATTGACCTGCCTGCAGTCCAGACCCGTCTCCCAATGAAAATGTGTGACACATAATGAAGCACAAAATACGACAATGGAGACCCCAAACTGAAATCAAGCAAGAATGAGAAATAATTCCACCAACAAAGATTCAGCAATCAGTGTCCTCAGTTCCTGAACACTTTAAGTGTTAAAAGAAAAGTGAAGTAACACAGTRGTAAACATGACCCTGTCCCCGCTTTTTTGAACATGTTGCAGACATTTTATCAAATACCTTGTCTTTGTAGTGTTTTTAATAAAATATAGTTTGAGAAAGATTTGCATTACATTGTTTTCTATTTTAATTTATATTTTACACAACGTCTCAGCTTCATTCTGAATAACTGAAGTGAATTAAAGCCCCAACATTTTACTGAATCTGCCTGATGCTCGGTGGACCCTTTAATGATGATGTCATGACGTCTGTGCAGGATGACCTCGTCGCTCTCAGGAGGGTGGTCAAGTCTTTCCTGGCCGTGTGCCAGCAGTGCCTGTCTAACGTCAACACGCCGGTTAAAGAACAGGTAAAAGAAAAGAGTCGGACGCAGCAAACTGAGCGACAGAAAATGAGCTTGTTGAGTCAGCTTTTAGTTTGCCTCCTCTCATCCAGGCGTTCATGCTTCTCTGCGACCTGCTGATGATCTTCAGCCACCAGCTGGTCTCTGGAGGCAGGGAGGGCCTGCAGCCCCTCGTCTTCAACCCAGACGGCACTCTGCAGAACGAGCTGCTGAACTTCGTCCTGGACCACGTCTTTATCGACCAGGACGATGAGAACCAGAGCATGGGTGAGAAAGTTTGTCCCGTCATTCATCTGTCAGATAAATGGAGAGGTCCCCCATCATCTTTTTTTTTTTCTCCATCCCTTCCTGTCTGCAACCAGAAGGAGACGAGGAGGACGAAGCCAACAAGATCGAGGCTCTCCACAAGAGAAGAAATCTGCTTGCAGCTTTCTGCAAACTCATCATCTATGACATCGTCGACATGCCTGCTGCTGCTGACATCTTCAAACACTACATGAAGGTCTCTTTGCTCTTTATATTACGTTTAATAAATAAAACATGATTGAAATGAATGGATTTAGACGATAAGCTGAAAGTGTATTGCAGTAAATAATTTGTACTTGATCTGGTTTTAGTACTACAATGATTACGGTGACATCATTAAAGAAACTCTCAGTAAAACCAGACAGACGGACAAAATCCTCTGTGCCAAGACGCTCATCCTCAGTCTGCAGCAGGTAGGCACACACAGCTCTGTGGTTTGGTTTGGTTTTGGTTTGTGTTTTGTTTAGTTAGATTTGATTTTGTTTTGTTTTGATTTGTTTTTTGTGTTTTCTTTTGGTTTTAGTCTGGTTTTGTTTTTTGGTTTGTTTTTGTTTTTTTGTGTGTGTTTTGTTTGGTTTTTGGGTGGTTTTTTGTGTGTTTTGTTTGGTTTTTTGTGTTTTGATTTCTTTGGTTTTGTTTTTTGTTTTTTTGTGTTTTGATTTGTTTGGTTTTGTTTTTGTTTTTTGTGTTTAGTTTTGGTTTCAGTTTAGTTTTGTGTTTTATTTTTTTAGTTTTTTTGTGTTTAGTTTTGGTTTTAGTTTTTTTGTGTTTAGTTTAGTTTAGTTTAGTTTGATTTGATTTGGTTTTGTTTTTTGTGTTTTGTTTGTTTTTTGTGTTTTTTGTTTTGGTTTTAGTGTTTTGTTTCGTTTGATTTGATTTTTTTTTTGTTTTGATTTGTTTGGTTTTTTTGTTTGTTTTGTCTTGGTTTGGTTTTTGTTTGTTTTTGTTTTTTATGTTTTGTTTTGGTTTTAGTGTTTTGTTTTGTTTGTTTTTTGTGTTTTTTATTTGTTTTTTTGTGTTTTGTTTGGTTTGGTTTTTTGTTTCGTTTGATTTGATTTTGTTTTGGTTTTAGTGTTTTGTTTGGTTTGGTTTGTTTTTTGTTCGTTTTTTGTGTTTTGTTTTGGTTTTAGTGTTTTGTTTCGTTTGATTTGATTTTTTTTTGTGTGTTTTGATTTGTTTGGTTTTTTTGTTTGTTTTGTCTTGGTTTGGTTTTTGTTTGTTTTTGTTTTTTGTGTGTGTTTTGGTTTTAGTTTTGTTTTGTTTTGGTTTGGTTTTTGTTTTGTTTATTTTTGTGTTTTTGGTTTTGTGTTTTTTGCTTTCTTTGTGTGTTTTGTTTGGTTTTTTGTGTGTTTTGTTTGGTTTTTTGTGTTTTTTTTGTTTTGTTTGGTTTTTGTTTTTCTTTGGGTTTGTTTTGTTTACAATGTGTTACAAATGATGCTCGTGTGTTTTACAGCTGTTCAATGAGCTGCTCCAGGATCAGGGTCCCAACCTGGACCGAACGTCGTCCCACGTGAGTGGTATCAAGGAGCTGGCTCGCCGCTTCGCCCTAACCTTCGGCCTTGATCAGATCAAAACCAGAGAAGCCGTCGCGACGCTGCACAAGTAAGACCCGAACGCTTTTAGCTCTTTAAACTGAACTCGTCACACAGATTCAGAGAACTGTAAGGCCTGGCTTTCATCGTGCTTGGTGTTTGGCTCTTCTTCCGTCACCTCAGGGATGGAATAGAGTTTGCCTTTAAGTATCAGAACCCAAGAGGACCAGAGTTTCCTCCCATCAACCTGGCCTTCCTGGAGGTTCTCAGTGAATTCTCCTCCAAGCTGATCCGTCAGGACAAGAAGACGGTGTAAGTGCTCCTTAGCTTTAAAGTTTCTGTTTGAGGGTAAAACCCAAATGGGCATCATTTTATTGTACAATTTGCTGCACGTCTCCACAGCCACTCGTACCTGGAGAAGTTCATGTCAGAGTCGATGTCGGAGCGCCGGGAAGACGTGTGGCTGCCGCTGATCTCCTACAGGAACAGCTTGCTGACAGGTGGAGACGAGGACCACATGTCCATGACGTCCGGCTCCAGCAGCAAGGCCGGCTCGGTCCGCAGCAAGAAAGGACGGCCGCCGCTGCACAAGAAACGCATCGAGGGTGAGCGGATCGGTGTCACTTTGCTCGTTATGTTCAGCTGTTTGCAATAGGGACAAAAGTTATCGATTTAGTGACTTCATTTAAAGTTTATTGATCTTATCGATCGACTAATGATTAATTTATAAGCAGCCATTTGTTTCATCTTGAATCAACATTTGGTTTATTTTCACGAGTTTAACTCAACAAGAAGAAGCAGCTAACGTTAGCTGCTATTAGCTTACAGTTTTCTGCTCTGGTTGTTGGCATCGTACTGTCCGGTATCACCTTGGATACTTTTCCTTCGAGCTTGGAGTCGTCCTTTATTATTGTTGTGTCCCAAATAAAACAAAATAAGATTGGTTTCGTTTTAATTAGAGTGATCCCACCCACATGGAGGCTACTCTCTGCTCAAAACACAAACAGGGCCGGGGTAGAGTGATGAGGCTGCATAGATTTGAATAAGATCACTAGACTGAGCTCCGCCTGTCCCGTCCACTAGTGTCTGTGACAACATGGAGGAGCAGAAACAGACCAAACAGGACAACAGCTCACAGCAAACATAGAAACTAATAGATAAACAGCAGCTGAACTGGATCTGTTTCACAGATTATCTGTCACGTTTTACAATAAATTAATAATTAGGTTAATTTCATTCAACAATCATGTAAAACAGCAGATTTATAC